TGGTGACTTTTTTTCCTCTCACGGAAAGGAAACAAGGTGCCATATATTAAGAAGTTCGCCAAGTGAACTATTCTTGCACAAACTGAAAAAAAAGTGCCAACATAAATTTGTGATTTTCTCCGTAAATTCACTCCAAATTTTACAAAATTCATATTTAGGCGAATTTGAGTCGTAGAATCGAAATATGTAAAAAAATTGGTATTTACTTCAAAAAAGTCCGATTTTGTGTCAAAATACCTATGTTAGAATAGTGCTATATATAAATCTAATATATCCTAATCGCGCTTTCGAGACATGAGAACCAATTTGAATTTTGTCAATCGCCCCAGTAGATCGGGAGATATAGGACTGTCCCATTTTTTTTTTGAGCAGTGTACATTTTACTTTATATACATATTTTTATGACTTTTGAGACAAAGAGGGGATATGCTGTAACTTTAAAAGTTGGCAGGATAGACAAAAACTGTGGTATTTTTGAATTCAGCAGCCAAAAGTTTGGCAAAAACAAGGCAAGTCTAATACAACAAACCTGTTTTTACCCAGTGTCGTCACTGAAAGCTGTAGCTGACAGACAGTCTGGATCTTCTATTCTCTGAAGTATCGTTGATCACATAGCTTATTAATGGCAGTAAAATATTTATCCGTCTTGCCATTCCAGTATGCGGCAAGTGTATTTTCATCGAAGCGAATACTTACTATCTTATTTAGGCAATTGATTTCTCTGAGACGTCATGCACAGTAATTCAGACATCAATTTCCTATCTGCTAAGCCTTACTCAAAACCAAAGCGTTTATAAGTATTAACATTATAGAATCTCTTCTGCTTTAATATTTAGTCTGTGAAGAAAATTAGAGATCTTTTCTAGTTATAAAAATGCATTTCTCAGTTTTATTTATTTATTATTAGCACTTTACAACTACATTTCATATTTTTATCATTTTTCTTTTGAATCTTTTCTCCAGTAATTTATGGCCAAGATTTGTATTTTTTGGTCAATAATAATTGTTATTGTTTCACTTGATGAGTCAGAAATCGATTTTTAATTGGCCTTCTCAGAGAGTAACCTACGCCTCATTGTTGAAGGATGAATATCAATACAATACACAACAAAACTTTTTTAAGGTTTTTTTTTATTAATAATGCTGTTTTTGAGTGGGGATCGATCAGATTTTGGAATCGTTTACCTTTTTCTTCCACATTTGCCCTTCCTTTCTGGAGAATATTATCCAATTTCATTCTGTCTCCTTAGAATTCAAGAAATGCCCGATTTTCCAACACCTAAAGCAGTATTCCTTACAGTCATGAATGTCTGCCTGCTAACTGAGACAATATTTGATCTCTTTCCAACCATTATATGAATTGTGGTACACTAAAATGAACGAATGCAGAAAGTATTTAAAAAGTATGCAAAAGTAGCTTCTCTCAGTAAAAAGCTTTAAAAATATGAAGTAACCTTAATTTTTGTCTAAACTAGTTATAAAAAGTCGACAGCAGACATTCAGATGACATTAAAGCACATAAAATTGCTCTGAAGGACCTACTGGCAAAAGGTCGCTTTGTCTCAATTAATTTGCCCACTACAGTAAATGTATTTTATCGACATCACTATCTTAAGAGTTACATAAAAGTCATTTGAATAAAAATCATTTGTCTAGGCTTTAACTAGCACCCTCGATGTATTAACGCCGCATTAGCAATCGCGGTGGTGTCTCAGGCCTGTTATCCGCACAGCCCATATAGGCCCATATGTGGTCGTCCCTAAGTACTCTGAATTGGGCCCCCACAAAGAATTCTTGTCATAAGAGTGTAGGCTGCGTAGATACATTTATTAAGCTATATTAAATTATTAAATAAAGTTTTATTCTTACTCCAGAAAAATCGCATTCTATTTATAAAGAGGATAGCTTTTGCTACATTAAATGTGACTTAAGACGTTAAAAGTTAAATCCTAGAAATTTAAACTGATTAATTTATCACTTCAAAAACTATGGTACATGAAATTAAATTATCTTACTTGCTGAAATGAGTGCTGTGTGATTATCTCGGTATTTAAGCAGGTTCTCCGCAAAATTGAGTCGAGCCCCTTCGAACCAAGGAGGCAAATCTTCCATAGGTACATTCATATCAACAACCTAGGTAATTTTTCAAGTTAATAAATGCAAAGTTTAAGAAAGCAATATGAATCTATATATTTTACAGACTAAAACAGCTTGAACTTATGTAATAAGAGCTTCTCGGAAAGACGGTGTTACCCTTATTAAATGTATTTTGAATTATATTAATCTAAAAAAAATTTGAATTATATTAATCTAGAAAACTAGATAGCTGGCAACAAATGGACTCAGAACCTTTTTGTTCTTCATCGGTTCTGGGTCATTTCAAACATGAAAATGAGAATACAATTCGTGGGATCAAATTCTCAGAACTTAGATAGATGTTATATTTATGTTAGAATGGACTTGCCTTTTTGATCTAACTGATTGTGATCCACTATATCAAGCAATTTTATAAAAGAACGTCATGATATCCTCTATTCTCTTTATACTGAGATATCTGAAGTTGTTGTGGTAGACAAGCAAGTTATTGCAAATAATTAAATAATAAACCAAGATCATGTAAATTATCATGAAACACTTTAGACTAACTCAGAAGTCAAACAACAAAAATCAGCGTTTTTGCAGCTGAGGATGGTGGTTCGGTAAAACCATCGAAACTAGTCCTGTGCAAATTTTGAAAATATAATGCTGATTTTTGTTGTTTGACTTCTGAATTAGTAATTGTTCGGCGTGTTATTGTGTCTTAACTTTAGGTTAGGTTGAGTTATTTGAGTATGGCAAAAATACGAGGGCTATCTGTAGAAGGGAAGGAAGGTTATTGTTGAGGTTTCTTCTGAGATAAATTGGCTTATGTTTACCTTACACAAGCAGAAAAACATGAAAACCAAACATTCAGCCCGCCCGTTTGCTTGGTATCGAACCTAAGCCAGGTCAAATTACCAACATTCAGCAGCCACTCGGCTACTGGTGGGGCCACGAAACACTTTAGAAAACATTAAAGGATTGAGCTCCACATGAGCTGTAGCAAAGTCCTATTCCAGAAATTACTTCATTCGGACCAATCAAAATGATATTCATGTCAAACCCATACATGTTTAGAATTTCAATGTTCATTATTTTTGTACACATGTACATCATTCTGTGCAAGCCGGGAGCGATGGTTTTTGAATTAACTTGCATTCATACCTTATGGGAACGTTCATAATAATAGGGGGACCGGAAAGTAATGTTGTTTCTGCGCATATCGACAACAACATGCTAAAGGCAGAAGTGGTAGCAAATCCATGTCAAACACTCTTAACCAACCTTGGTCGACCATCCAAGAACATTTAAAGCAGAATGGAAAAATAAACAAAGAAGGTGTTTGAGTCCCCCATAATCTGTCCGAAAAGAACAAAGCCAACCTATCCATCACATGCAACGTATTGCTTCAACGGCACCATACAGAACCGTGTTTTGATCATTTGATTATTGGAGACAAAAAAATAAGTCTTATATGATAATCCAAAACTGAAAAGGCAGTTTTAATAGGGGATACAAAGGGTTTACATCCCTAAAAGGCGTCTCTGGGTGTTTGATGGAGTATTCGAGGAATTGTTCATTTTGAATTGCTGAAACCTGGGAAAACTATTAATGCAGACCTTTATTGTGAACAATTGGATGGAGTGAATCAATCTTTAATAGAAAAATATCAATTGTCAACAGAAAAGGCGTCATTCTGCAACACGACAATGCATGACGAACACTGGAAAAAATTAATGAATTGGGGTGGGAGGTACTGCCATACTCACCCACCATACTCGGCCAATATCACAGCATTGGATTTCCATTTATTCGGATCCCTATAACATTAGTGCTTAGTGGCAAAAAATTTGAATATTTGGATGGTGTCCAAAATGTCCTCTCGAGATATTTTACTCAAAAACCAATTAAATTTTATCGGTCCGGGATTGAAAATCTGCACATTAGATGGCAAAAGGTTGTTGATAACGAGGGTGGTTATATTATTGATTAAAAATAAAAACTTGTTAAAAATGTATTCGTTTGAATTTAATGTAAGAAAGTGACATTATTTTCCGGTCCCCGTATTAGATTGTGTAATGTAAATATCTGCAGCATTTATAAAACAGTGACAAATTTTGCGACTTATTGCAGGTATATTGGCGTCTTCGAACATCGGTTGATTGTCTTTCAGTGGTAATACTAGACCTACTGCACTTGAACTCTCTATAGTGTCAATGTTTTTTCTGAACCGAATTTGATAGCAACAAATAACATTTCAAAAAACGTCACAAATGATTATTAGAAAATATTTTGTACTCTTCAGTTATGTTTTGTGAGTTTCTAATTTCCTAAAATATAGCAGATATTTGTAGCTTAGTAAATGAACTCTTATCATTGTGGGAAGTTCAGCAAATAAAAACTATGAAAACTAAGTTGGAGACTTCACCTTTCATCCTTTTCTCCGTTTTCTGTGTTCTTTTATCCAACTTTACAGAAACGTGTGTCTTCATATCTGAGTCTTTTAGTTTACAGGCTGTCTCACAGCTCATCTGTAAGCTTTTGTATTTATATAAAGAAATCATGTATTCCTGGCTCTATCCTTAGAGTTCTGAATACCCATAACTTTCCCGAAACTACGTATTTTAGTTACAATTGCATTCTTAATAAGTGTAACGAGACACTTATCGAAGACTAAACTGCTTTGTGAATATAAATTTGGTATTATTTCGATACTTTACCCAAATTTTTACTGTTTATTTAAATTCAGATTCAGTGCAGAATTGTTTAACACTGAAGAAGTCCGCTTAATCATGTAACAGTAGGTTACAAAATGTGTGTTGCAGTGCCTTGGTTGATCGCTCTCTTGGGGAAGAAGGGTTAACACAATATTATTTGGTTTAGTTTATAGGCTGTGTTTGTTACCTATTGTATACGTAGAATATAACGTGCTGTTAACCATTATATTAAATGTCATTATGTATTGTTTTTGGTTTTTTAACGTATGTAGTATAAAAATAATACAGTGGTATAATATTAAACATTGCTCTGTAAGCGAAGTTGCTTCGGAGTTGCAGAAAGTTTTCTGTAACAAGAAACTCTGAGAACTTTAGCAAAACAACAATTTATTAAAATTTGTATCATTTTATTTTCTAATTTTTAACTTTCCTTAAGGTAAATACTTATTTATCTGAAATTATATTTTTGAATTATTAAATTTAAACATTTTAATTTTAAAAAAGTAGATTATTTTTCAAATAACAGATAATTCTGTCTTACCTTATCGAATATTTTAGAGCATATAATTCCACTGACATGCCAAAATTCACTCCAGAACTCTGAGATATGTTCAATGGACCATTTCTGCAAATCCCAGTAGTCATCTGTTTAAAAAATATATAATTCAGTTTTTAATTTAGTTTTGTTTATAAAGTTAAAAATAGAAAAATGAAAAATAGGCTTCTTGAAAATATGGAGTGATTATAAGCAATCATTTAAATGTTTTCACTGAGTGAATTTATAGTTTGTAAATATTCGCAATGAAAATTATATGAGTGCGAAATTCAATACCTTAATGAATTTTCAAATAATGATATAATTTTGTGAATGAAGAAAAACACCAAACTATTTTTTTAATTGAAATTTTTAATTTAAAAGTCATTCTTTCCTTTCAGTTATAAAAGAAAGAGAGTACGCTAGAATCAAATAACTTAATTTAAAAAAATTAAAAATAATACTGAAGAAAACTTAAAGAAATATGGTTAAAGTAATAGTATATTTTAATCTAAAACTCTTGACAGATCTCAAAAACACCAATATAAAGAAAAGAATGATAGTACGATTCTATTTACCCAAGGCACAAGAGCACAAATTACATAAATGAGAATTTTTAATGGAAGACTCTTTCTTTCTATCATTCGTGTTTCCTGTACTGAAAAACATACTAGTACGCACACAGCAATGTCGACGAATGAACACATCTAAGAAAAAAGCTATTACAATCAGAGTTTTTAATAGGTGAATTGTGAGCATTCGGAAGATAATATAAAAAGATTGCACTAAAAAAACAAGAATGTATTATTACATCATTAATTAAATGCATCTTGGCTTTGGAAATGAAGGTGATCAAGATTAATGTTAAGCAGTTTTATAAAAGTTTTGAATAATGGTTGGTTAAAATTATATTTAATAACTAAATTTAAGTTAATGAAGTGCGAAACATCCTATTAAATCTTATTTTCATTAAATTAAAAGCAATTCGCTAAAACGCTAGTTTAAACTCTTTTGCATCTTAAATGTGTTATTTTTTATTTCAGTTCCAGATTTACATTTAGCTTAATTTTGGGGTATGCGTGATAACAGCATGTAAAATCTTACAATAGAGACTGCCATAATGTTTTACATATGTTTATCAAAACTGTTTTATATATGTTTCCTGTAATTATCGGAAATTTTGATGAAATAAAATTGTAGAGTCATTAGATTATGTCGAAGCAGGAGCACATGAAAAATAGGCAATGCACTACCTGGAGCTAGAAACTGGACCTCTCGAATACACGCCGAACGTGCTACCGTTAGACCACGAAGTGCATGCTGGAAGGATGGAGAAAATTCTTTATATACTCCCCCTTTTAAAGGGCGATTTGGGATTAGGAGACAGTCGCCAAATCCTGATGATGACGGAAGTATTGTCCACCACCTTTTAGTTCGTACGCCACTGTTAAGTCATGAGGTTATTTTGAAGTAGGAGACCTGAAAAATGTGCAATGCTCTCGCCGGGATCCGAACCTGGACCTGTCAAATTTGCTCGGAGTGTGCTATTACACCATGAAAGTATGCTGGAAGGAGGGACAAAATGCCTTATAAAATAAATCTTGTTTTAGTAGATGCCACGAATGCCATATATGAATTATGCAATAATTGTAATATTTATTACATTTTATGTGAAGATTTGCTGCTAATTTTTCCAATGTAACATGTTTCTATTATTTAAATGCAATGCTTTTGCAGACAGTATTTCTTATATGCTGTTGTCTTAAATATGCTAACCGAATACTGCTTGTACTTAGCTCTCACTTGCAACATAGAAAATTTAGTATCAAAATGTATCAATCATAATATGAGATTTTCTCAAACCAACTTACCTAATTTAGTATTATACTTAGACTCTATTAATTTCATAAAATTTTTCGTTTCTTGTGCGGATTCTTCGGTTGGTTTCCACAGTATCTCAACATTGGTAAAATTCCTCGTATTCATTTCTACCTAAAGAAAAAACAAAGAAAAATAAATTTTAAGCCGATATTTTGTGCTTCCTTAATATTATACGATAGTATTAAAAAGAGATAAGGGTTGCCAACATCTGTACGAGTATGAACAACTCATTTTCCCTCTATGGGTCATGTTATGATTTACTATTGATTTAAAATAGGTTACTGGTACCTGCGAGAATCTAAATTAATATAACATACTACTAATTTACTATTGATTTAAAAGCAAGCGGCAGTTGATCGAAGGATTTGATAGTTTCTTTATGCATGAAATTTCAAAATTGCTTGAACATTAATTTTTACCTATTGGACTAGAATAACAGTATGTTACAGTAAAATATTTATTGTCAATGAAGTATCCTTCAAAAGTTGCGCAATTTTTCAATTGTTTTGAGAAGCTCAAATGCGTAAGGTTATTATTATTTTGGGTAACTTACTGTCACTTCTCTTTTCGTTTCCTCACCAGAATGCAAATTAGATCGAGGATTTAAGCTGAGGTTGTTACAATGTAAAACAGAATAGAACAACCTTTACTTATTTGTGTAAATTGTGAACCGTGTAAATAATATAAGTTATGTAGAGGTTAAAATTAACCAAAGGCTATGGACTTAACCATATTAATCACGTCATAGGAAAAGTCTACGGTATCGCCAACCAAATTTCTGTATTCTTAAGAAATTACTCTGGACTGTCTCTTTCTCTTTCTCTCAAAAAAAAAAAAAAAAAAAAAAAAAAAAGAGAGAGAAGGATATATCTGAGCATTATAAGATACATTCTATTCTCACCGATTTTCACAAACTTCAGTTATTACAGAATAAGATTCTGAGAAGAACTGTAAATGCTCATAACCTCATTGGAAATAAACTGATCCCTGATGACTTGAAAATTGCCTCTATAGTGGACCATATGACCAAATTAAAAAAGTGTTCCTTCAAAACTGCAGTTAGCTGTCATGATGCAAATTTTTCAGAAGTTCTTAGTTATCAAATCATTCCAGAAGCTAATTTGATCAGACCACTTGCAACTCACACGCTTACACTGTCTCGTAACATAGATTTGACATCTGAGTTTTACTTGTTTATTTTGCCCGACGTGACTTTCGCTTTCCGTCGACGCTTTCCATCGATGTGACTCATCCATCGACGTGACTCGCTTTTCATCAACGTGACTGATCGCTTTTCATCTGGTTGGCACATACGCAGTACAGAAGAGAATTGTGTCTCCACTTTTACCTCACTTTCTTCCGTTCTTGGAGCTTCATCTGCTATCTTGTCAATTCATGTGCCCTCAGCGGCATAGAGCATTAAGGTCCCTTCGGAGGCCACATAAACAACTGCATAATCCGTATCCCTATATAAGAAAGTGTTTCCTCCGGTTTGTGTATACGTTATATTTGTCCCAGCTCTGACGGTCTGGATTGCTTGGCTTTGCATTACTGCTGCCTAATATTTGGATGCTTACCCAGGATAGATTTGGGAACCAAGGTCGCATTTGCATTATTGTTTTCGAATATTTGAATACTTGCGCCGGTTAAATCCGTGATCGCACTTCGCATTAAACTGAATTGTGTAGTCCTTGACTGTTAGCGTATCTAAATTTGAAACTGACGGCTACTTGAAGTTATCTCACCACAAATACTGGTTGAGTTCCTTAAGCAGGAGACGCGCGCTTCTGTTACGTTTATGATTTAATACAAAGGTTAATTTTTAACCTTCTCAGGACTTTGTCGTTATCTTGAGACTCAGTGATAATTTGCTGAGAGTCTGTTAGGAGTATTGATTGTAGTTTATGCTACTAAAGAAAGTCAAATTCTGTAAAGGGAGGCCTGGAGTGATTGAAGAAAAACTTAAGATATAAATGGATAAATAAGTTTAAATGATTAAATATTAGTACTGTATCATAGTAAAAGCTTCATATGTTGGACATTTCGGTATCGTACTCAAATTATTATTTTTCAGATGGGAATTACCAGTATTCTTTGGTTTTACTCTGTTGCATCTTTTAAAACTTTAACATCTTACTTTTAATTCTAGCATACATGTTTTGAATCCCTTTCTCTTTTATTTCTAGCGTATAATTTTACCTTGTTTGTTTAAATTCCCTAAATTACCAACTTAATTCTTTCATTGACGTCCTATTTGATAATACTACAAGTTTTCTTAATTGAAAAAAAGCGAATTATTTCTCATTTCAAAATAGAACTAGTATATTTTTCATCACAGACATTACCAAATGAAACGAAGAAAGACACTTATACTGTGCCATGTTTTCGACAATCTTTTATTCATAATAAAATGTATTAGCTAATAACAAAATATTGAAATTAATGAAAACCGACGTTATGGAAAGAAAACTCTAGAAACTTTTACATTTTCACAAGTATATCAATGTTCCTTTTCTTAAAAACAGCAGCTGTATCGCAATTTTTATTTCTATTTCGTTAAAAGTTAAATTTGTAAAAAAAATTTTATAGTGTATGATCAAATAACTCATTAGAAAATCTATATCATGAATGAAATTCATGTCTTACATCAGATTAAAAAGGAATATTCTGAAGCTAAGTGTTTATGCCTATTTAGCCCAAAATGTTATTATCGGCATTATAAATTTAACTAAAAATATTCTTATAACAGTATGTCGCCTTTAAATTCAGTGAAAATGTCAAGTGTATTTTCTGATGGTATTGATATACTTGCGAAAGAAGTTCTAAAAACCTGAAATGTCAAAAGATGTTTACAGTTGAACACCATGTAATAAGGGTCTCTTTTGTATCGCTAAATCAGTTAGAGGTTAAGGAGTGTTTTGAATAGAAGGCAATGTTTGTGATAAAAAATATGCTAGTTAAATTTTGAAATGTGAAATAATTCGCTTTTTATCAATTAAGAACACTTGCAGTATTATCAAATAGGATGTCAGTGAAAATATTAAGTTGGTACTGTAGGAAATTTGAACAAACAAGGTAAGGTTATACGCTAGAAATAAAAGAAAAAGCGATTCAAAATTTGTATGCTAGAATTAAAAATAAGACGTTTAAATTAAAAGGATGCAACAGAGTAAAACCAAAGAACACTGGTAATTCCCATCTGAAAAATAGTAATTTGAGAACGATACTGAAAAAGTTCGTTTTAAGAATTTCTTTATGCATGTGATGCAAAAAATTACTAGTTTTTCATGAGTGTGGACATAAATGCAATTAATGTAAGAAAAAGGTAAAATTAGTATAGTTAATGTCTCTAAAACAAGAAAAAATAATGGTATGAGCAGTGTAAATTCATATGAATTAGTGAAATATGACGTAGACTTAATATCATAAGATGTAAGAACTATTTTGGTATGTGTGGATGAAACACTGAATGTATAATGTAAAATTAGAAGCGAAAATTATGAATACACTTAAAGGTAATCGAGATTTAAAACTAAACATGATGTTAGAAACTTTTAAAGACCTTAAAACTATATGAGAAAGATATACATTTAGATATAAATGGTATTAAACTGTAAAGCCGTGAATGGAAATTTGAGTAAAACTTGTCGATGATCAATTATGATCGGAGAATATAACAAGTATTTAAAAAATTATAAGGAAATGTCTGAATATGCAGTAAATGAAAACAATTCATATCGTTAAAAAGTGTGTTAATGTCTAAAATGGGATAAAATGTTGGAATTACGAATGATGAGACACAAATAAAAACAGAACAATAAATAAGTTAAACTCGAATTATGAAATATAAACTAAGAAAGGAAATTATTAACGTGAGAAAAGCAATTGACAGTTACAGATTCTTAAATTAAGAAAAAAAATATTGGGCAGTGTAAGGAAGATATTGTTAAACATGTGTAAAAGAAATTAGAAATTCTGTAAAAAAATTAAGTAAAATAACTAAGATCACTAAAAATAAAAGTTTCTTTTTAGACATTCTTTAAAACAAGTGAGTTGAAATGAAAGTGCGTATAAAAAACTAGAACGGTTAAAAAGATATACAAAAAAAAAAAAAATGTTAAATGTTATGTTTAAAATAAAATGATGTAATAAACAGTAGTTATGTAAATGAAGTTAAAATTCAAAATATATTGAACACTATAACGTTAAAAAAACTGCGAAATCGCATTTAAAACTAAGTAATGTTACAATTAAACTGCATGTACGGGGAACAATTACGTTTGTGTAATCTAACATATAAGTTAAAAATCAGGGTATGTTAAAAATGGTAAAGATATGAAAAAATAACAATATGTGGAAATAAATTAAATATTACAAATTAGAAACGTTAATTATTAAAAATATGACCGTAAACAAATGTTATGAATAGAAAGCCTAAGAATTAAGTGAAATGTTCATGGAAAACTAGAAGGGATAAAAGTATCAGAACAAAACTGAGTAATAAAAAAAATATCTTGTAGTTGCCAGACATGATGAACCATCACTAATGGGAAGTCTTTTTTATATTTGTTTCTCTTATATTGGTTTCAGAGTCATGTATTGAATAATTTTAACACCATACTTAAAAATATATTTCTAAAACATATAATTCACTTTTTCATCAACAGAGGGCAGCATTTGCATATCACAAAAATTAAGATGCAGAAAATATTCTCCGTTGCAAATTTTGAAAAAATAAATTTAAATGAAAAGCAGGAGGTCTACAACTCAACTAGTAGTCTAAAAACAACTCAACTAGTGACGTCATTGTTCACGCCTCTTTGTGTGATGTCATCGATGACGTTGCACGATGCACCTGACCTGCTGGCGCAGAACTGTCATTCTTATACTACTCTTAAGATATACATGGATAAATAAGTTTAAATTATTAAATATTAGTAATGTATCATAGTAGAAGCCTCATAGGTTGGACATTTCGGCCATCTTCAATTGGACGACATATTTGAAATCACAACTTGGGTTTGAGTCCGTACTTATCGTATCTTGTTATACAGAAGAAGTTTGAAGATACGATAAAATACCACGTTTTAAAGCGTTTTACTTAGAATGGGATGACAGTGTACTATCATGCTAATGCCTCAATAAGCAGTCATTGATAATCAGACAGGAAAGAAACTTATGACTAACTATAATATTGTTGCATTCATCAAACTAAATAAAAATTCCTTGTACAATTCTATTACACTTTCTTTAAGATGATGGACAGTACTGATAACAAATAACATTTTATTTGTTATTTTTCATGAGAAAAATAAAATTAGTTTATATTTTATAATTGTTAATCCTAAATATTACTCAAGCTAAAGTTTATTTTATTTTTTGAGAATTTAATCTAATTTGTATTTTGAAACAATGTACTTTTATATCACAATTAACATATTAAACTTCATTAACTTTTACTAATCACGATAAGGCAAATGATGAAACAAAATAAGAAGAAAAGTTCAGAAATAAATCTACTTATCATAGTTGTTTTATATTTGATAGGTGGATTTCCAAATGAATGAATTCTCTATGAATGGAAAATTAAAGAGATATAAAATGAGCAAATAATTTACCCTTTTCCTGCGATGTTTAAGTTTGAACACTTTCTGGCTTATCGTCACTAAAAATGATTCAATTTTTGCCTTTCTAGCGAGACTCGATGTTAGACAGATATCACAGGTTTATTTCTATTTGTTTACGATTAGAAGACATTATTGATAGCATAACAAATGTTTGAGATTATTATCAAAATTTAACTGAAAATTAAAGAGAAACATATATTAAAAGATGTTATTAATATTTAATTTCATCCATTTTATGCAGGCATAATTAAACGAAAGGACCAATTTTTAAAATTTTAGACCATTTTGTCATAGTCCTTGAAACGTGTACTTCATGTCAAATCACTTGAATAAATACAAGCGTAGATAAAAAGTGGTCACAGTGCTTTCATTGATAACTAAAACAGTGTTCTCAAAACACCATCTACCTTATCAGTTTCGTCTAAAGAAGGCAGATTATACAACTCATTGATTCCTTTTTATGATGAAAAATTGGTAGAAACTTGTTAATGCTACGATTTACCATCGTCCGATGATTAAGGAAGTATCTCACATCAATGAATTTTTTGCTGCTTTTATGTTTTAATTCTGATAACTTCTATTAAAGCCATGCTCAGAGTTTTCTCTGATGAGTACTAAATAAAGGAATAGCAATTTATAAAATAGAAGAAACTTAAATTTACTAATTTAGATTAATGAAAGTAGATTAAATTCTGCTAAATAAAGCAAATTTGCTATTCAAATAAAATTGTTAAAAAATTATGCATTCTATTTCTTTTTGTAATTTTTCAAAGAGATTTAAAATCACGGAAACTTTATTTACAAAAAAACAAAAAAAAAAAAAAAAAAAAAAAAAAAATGAAATCTTTTCGTTTGAATAATAATAAGACAACTACGTGTTTGGTCTAGTCCCCATTAGTGTTTCAGCAACAGTAAAATGGACAATGGTATCAGAACTATTAACTATTCAAAAATGGATTGCCTTAGTTTCATTTCAGGAAATGAAATGAACATTGATGACCTCCAAAATTATGTAACATATTCATATTTCAATTACTAAAAGCTTGTAAATGGAGTAACATTCACAAACTCACAAAACCTTTTTTAAGAAAGACATTTTTGAAAAATTTTATAAAATAGCTTTTAGCTAGGTTGTATTAACATTTTGTCTAATTATTACGCTCGATTTAAATCAGCAACATTATGCATAAGCATTTCCTTTAAGAATTACATCTATTAACAACAACTGAAAGAAACAGAAGAAGCACCAAAGGAAGATGTACCGAAAGTGTCTTGAATGAAAAATGCTTGAAAATGTTTCAAAATATGCCAGAACTTCAAGGATTTGAAGAATAATGCCTATAAGATGAGATTATGTTAATAAAAATATATTTAAAAACATTGAAATGCTTTTTGTATTTTTGTTTTCCGTTAGTATTTATAGTAACAGTTCTGGTTGCAACAAGATCTACAGACATAAAAGGTTCTATACATACCAGAAACCTTAAGTGAGAAGAAAACTTAGTTTATTAAATAGAATCAGAAACTTGGAAAATAATTGAATTTTTTCAGTAACTCTTGACTTTTCTCAGAGTTTGTGTTCTGCTTTGCAGCAACTAACATTTCTGAAACTGATTACGTAGAAAGTATAAGCCATGTATTTAAACATTTCAAAATTGGAGAAAATTTCACTTTGGAGAAATGTAATATTTCTCTTATCTACTCTAATAATTCCAATCTTTTAGTTTAAATTTGCATTTCTTCATACTGTTAATGTTTGTTATCTAAGGAAAGAAGTTTCAGTCAACCAATTATGCAAACGAATTGTCATTATCCCAAAGCTATATTTCGGATGAATTATTATGAGATAACTTCTTCAAAGTTCTTAACTAATTATTGTTGCTACTTTTTATGAGCTTGCTGAAAATTACTATATAATGGGCAAAGTCAAGAACGCAAAATCTAGCATTTGGCTCTTTTAATACGAGGATTTCTGTTCAGTTAATATATTGAAATGATAACTGACTATGAAAACTTAATTCTTATTTCTTTCTCTATCAAACGATGCATGAAACTTTCGTAGCGAGAGAAATACTAATACCACAAGTAAAATCGCTTCTTTTATGAAACACACTTGTATTTTGAATGCGATGTATACGCTCACAAAGATGAATTAAATAACGTATGGTAAATATAAAAATACATTAGCTGTTAATTCCACCACATCTTCAGAGAATTAATTACATTATCATAAACAGCTTGTAAGATTCTCACTAGTGTATTTCTCTGTTACTGTAGAAAGTGACGAATCTTAAGAACTAGTTAGCTAATAATCGCTTAAGTTCGTGTAACTAGAAGGAAGGGTAACTAACCCTTTATTATTCCAATAAGATTTAACAAAACTCCGTCTTGGAGTGTACAATAAAAGCCGAAACTTGGGCTTGAACTTAAGAGACTAAGAAATAAACTAAAACTAAGATTTAACTAAAGAAATATAGCCAAAGCTATGAAGATTCTAATCGAGTTGGTCCTTTAACTTTATTTGACTACGAAGCATATCAAGGGCCTGAGTACGGCAGAGCGAAATAACAGCTTTGAGAGAGAGATTAGCCAAAAGGCAGACGCGCGCAAATCAGAAACTCTGATTCTCTCTAACTCAGTAAGTAGACTTCGCGATTTAAATACCGCTCCTCCTCATTAAGTATTCAGAACGATTCCAAAACTACGTTCTGGCGGGAAGTAGTAAGTTGAAGTTAAGAATTTGACAGGAAAGGAACTTTAACTTAAAATTTAACTCTTAATAAAATTAATATAATCCTTACAAGCTTGTTTCTTGAATTATTAAAGCACTGATGATTTCGTTTATATTTTTTGCCATAGTTTATAGTGTTTTTGTAGATGTACATAATCTAGTCATATTTAAATTTATTAAGAACAAAACGCCCAAGACAGTCTTTCATTCAAAAGACCTCAACCGCTCGAAACGGCTGAGATTGCGATGTAGGCTTCTTCCCTCTCCCTAAGACATACAGTAGCAGGTGCAGCTTCCCCAAAGCATTGTATCTGTTTATTGCAGACAGCTTAACCTAAAAGTGACCAAAAAGAACAGCTTATTTGTGGCTCTTATCTTTATTTCATATGAAGTAGAAAGGATAGCATTTGAAAACCTTACACCTCTTTGTGTGGTAATGGATGGGGAGGGAGGAAATTGCTGTGAAACTCGAAAGCCCTTTTCGGATGGTTCCGTATTTTAAAAATACAGGTTAGCGAAGTTTTCAGTTTTTATAAGAGTTAAGCATAATATTTTTTCCTGAGATTAAATCAGATTTTCTTGATCCTTCAAGAATATAAATCATTGTAGTTCAGGGGAAATTTTCGGTCTAAATGAGAAGGGTTCAAAACATACAGAATTAGCTTGTATCGAAATCTGGCGGATGTTAAAGATTTTTATGTCTGTTATTTTAGTTAACATTTATCTCGTCTAGTTTGTTGTTTTATTTAACACTACAAGAAAACTCTTTTAAATTACATTAACCCTTTCAGAATCAAACATATTTCATTGAGAGTATCAAAATTTATTTTTTAATTTCCTGCAATAAAAGACATTCGAAAAACTGGCTATTTAGAACTTATTTAAATGCTAAAAGATGATCTGCTCTACCATTGTGCTTCATTACTTTTCTTATTTACAAGATGTATCATATTGAATATTTCTTGTTTCTTAAAATTAATGTGAAACTGAAAGATGTACATTTTATTGCGACAAGAAGATTTAATCTGTTTCGATAGAGTTTCTTGTTCTATTTTAAAGAAGGTTTTACGAAAATGATTAAAAACCTCAAATTTAACAATCAAGCAGTACATTCACACCAATATGGTCTAATATATTTTATCAATAAAAAGATATGAATTTCCTCTGAAAGCAAAAATGAAAGAAATAATTCAATTTCATAGTGGGAAACGTTTTCAACATTAAGATCTCGTGAAATTTTAAATAACTACAGGCAAAATATCTATGTATGATAAATACATGTTTTGACACTGAAGTTTTATTTTGAATAGTTTACTATTAGACAACCCTTTCTTCTATCCCTTTCCAGAATACCTTCATGGTGTAATCGTAGCACACTCTCTGCGATTTCGAGAGGTCAAAATTCGAGTCCCAGGGACGGCAGTGCTCTTTTATCACGTCTCCAACATCAAAAAAACTTAATGACTCTACAATAGCGCTCGAAATAAAATGTGGAGTACAATAATTCGTCACCACCAAGATCTGGGGATTTAGTCCCCTAATCCCTAGTCGAGGTTTAGAAGAAAATATTTTCTCTCTTCTTCCAGCATGTCTTCGTGGTGTAACGGTAGCACACTTGACGTGTCCAGATTCGAGTCCTGAGCATCGAAAAATACTTAATGGCTCTACAGTGTTGCCCGAACTAAAAACGTTGGTGGATAATAATTCATCACCAAGATTTGGCGATTCGTTCCCCTATTCCTTAGTTGCCCTTTAAAGCAGGAATACATAAGGTGATCCGGAGAGTACCGGTACTTTCAGCATGGTATAGGGGTACACTAAGACCCTCCTGGACACGGAATGGCCTCATGGTCAGAAAAAAGAATGACCCCAAAAGTAAATTAAGAAATATAAATACAAATAAGGAACAATACATAACAAGCAATCCCGAACATACAAAAAACAATTAACACAAAAGCAACATCAGATTACAATTCCAATTACACTTCGATTTGCATTGATAAATTTGAGGACATCTTGGGCAAAAAGTAAAAAAGCTTTGATATCAAAATTATCACGATATATCAGTATCAATTTTATATCAGTATCAATACAATTTTATATATCAGTATCAATTTTATACTAACACTGATACTGATACAATTTTATATATCAGTATCAATTTTATAAAGTTTTCTATGATCACCAAAGATAGAGCAGTCCTCTGCGAAGTGTTTCGCATTTCCGATGGCATTGAAAAAAATTCATTATTTTGTAACTTGAATCGCTTTAAATAATAGGAAAATCTCCCGTGGCCCGTGAGAATTTGAGTTAAATCAATGCTATTAAAAATAGCGATTTGGTTAGAAATTCTGATAATTTTCATGTATCCTTTATTTTTTGGTGAGTTTCCCCACCGGATTTTCCATTTATCAATATAAAATTTTTTCATATGTGTGATGGTCATCTGTTTTGATCCTGAAATTTCAATAAATGGGAGATCAGTATCTGACGCTGTCTCCTTGGCTAGACAGTCGGCGCTTTCATCC